GGCCCGTCATTCCTGCAACAAAATGCCATGGATTGGCCTCAAAATCGTCATTTACGTTTGACAGAAGCGGACGCGTCATTAGAGAAGAAGAAGGTAGCCACTTCGCTTGTCGCGGCCGATGGCGAACACAATCCCATCCTCACCCTAATAGAAAACTCATCATCATATATGATAGTGGTAGGCACAATTGCATATATCCGCCGGTTCATAAACAAAAGGAAAGGAGTAATTTGGAGTAGTACTTTTCCGTCATCAGAAGAGCTCGGCGCAGCGTTTCTAGCAGCAGTTGAAGCTGTTCAAAGAGACGCATTCTCGCAGGAGATTGACAAAATAAAAAAGTCATCAAAGTTGCAGGCATCACTTCAAAAACTAACTCCCTTCATTTCGGAAGAACAAGTGGGCTCATGCTCGTTTTCGTTGGTTCGAGTAGGTGGTCGCCTATTAAACGCTCCTCTAGCCCATAACGCAAAATTTCCACTGTTAATGCCAAAAAATTGTAGATTTGTTACCCTCTATCTTAGCTATTTGCATCGAGCCAATTGTCACGCTGGACCCCGTGCACTAGTGGGATTCCTAAGACAGTCCATGTGGCTGATAAATGCACGAAGAGAGTGCAGTGCCATTGTCCGGAAATGCGTACACTGTTTCCACTACAAGCCGAAGCTTCTCTCACAAATCATGGGAAATCTTCCCGCTGATCGATTGCGTGGGAATCGACCCTTCGAGATTAGCGGAGTTGATTTGTTTGGACCGGTTCGTGTATCGCTTGGGATTCGTGGCAAGCAGCCTCTTAAGATGTACATAGCAGTGTTTGTCTGCTTTGCATCTAAGGCCGTACACCTAGATATTGTAAAAGACTTGACCTCTAATACATTTATTTTGTGCTTATCCAGGTTTGTTGGACGTCGTGGGCCTCTTGTCAAACTCTATTGCGACAACGCCACGAATTTTGTTGGTGCAGCTCGCATGCTCAAGGAGCGCATGGATGCATTCAATGCCAAGGACGAAGACCTCAAGGCGTATGCTCCGGCTCACAGTTTTTCGGTGGAATTCATTCCCCCGCGAGCCCCGCACATTGGAGGCCTGTGGGAGTCGGCGGTGAAGTCCGCCAAGAATCTGCTGCTCAGGGCTGTGGGCAGCGCAGTGCTCAAGGAGGACGAGCTGCATACGGTTCTCGTGGACGTCGAGGCCGTGCTCAATTCCAGACCACTGGTGGTCGACAGCGGCAGCCCCAACGAAGGGGAGGTGGTGACTCCAGCGCAGTCGGCAGAACGCTAGTTTCGCTGCCACCCGAATCAGAGCTGCCCAGACCAGACAGCAGCCTCTCATATCTGCAACGATGGCAGCTCGTGTCTGCCATCAAGCAAAGATTTTGGAGAGATTGGTCCAGAGACTATCTTCTCAGCCTTCAACAGCGAGGGAAGTGGTCCGAGGAGGTCGCCAACTTGGAGCCAGGCAGAGTGGTGGCAATTCACAAGGACAACGTGCCACTTCAAATGTGGCTCACCGGAATAGTGGAGAAAGCAATCCCAGGAGCGGACGGGAAGGTTCGCGTGGCCGTGATTAGGACGAAGGCCGGGGTCCACAAGCGATCGATCCATCGTTTGGCGCCTATTCCATTGGATTGAAGCCTATAGGCTGTCAACGCGGCCGATGTTAAGGCAAATCAGTTGCCTGCATATATATATATAGCTATAATTATACCTAAGAGACATGTATGAAATCACGCTCTTAAATTGTAATGTCATGCGCTCTTATACCATGTTGCGAACGGAGCCTATGCAAGCAGCAGCCGCTCATGAAGAGGGCGCCGCTTTAGAATAAACTCACTTATAATTGAAAGTCGATTGAGTGCACAAGTTGATCTGTCGGTCTGTCTGATTCCAGTGTATAATTAAACCTTCAGAAATCGTGCCTAACGGCAGGCTAATTTGCACAACCAGGAACTATTTAACCTCCTTATCATTGATAAGTTATCTTCCCAAAGTTTTAACTAATTCACGACTCCTAATGTATGCTGATGATGTCAAGCTATGTTTTTCCTACAGCGATCTGGTAACCTTCAATCAGATCTCGACGCTCTCAACAATTGGTAGATTATTAATGCTCTTCCTCTTAAAATTTCCAAATTTAACGCCATGACCCTCCATCGCAACAAGTCTTACCTTTTTGACTTCACAATTCATAACATTTCCTTGGAACGCCTATACAAAGCCATTATTTTCGTACATAACTTATGTTTTAGTTCTCATATAAATATATTTCGAATAAAGCCAAAGGAGTCCTTGTCTTTATCAAAAGATGGTCGAAGGAATTTTCTGAAACCAAACCACTAAACTTTCTATACCTATCTTGGAATATGGTTCCTGTATCTGGTCTCCCCATTACCAAAAATATCAAGATATGCTCGAGTCCGCTCAAAAACAATTCCTTATCTTTGCCCTGCGCGGACTTAAGTGGTACCCCTCTCGACTCTCATCTTCCTTCTTATGAGAGTCGGCTGCGTCTCATGAACTTGCACTCTCTTGAAAGCCGTAGGACTTGGAATTCTGTTTCTCCACAAACTTCTCCTAGGCGACGTTGAATCTTCGGCCCTCATTAGCCTTATCAATATTGCCTGTCCCATCCCGCCCGACTAGGCATTACTATCCTCTGCGTCTTCCTGTGCTTCGAACTACTCTGACCATGAATCTTTCCGTAGCCTTTGCCGCGACTGTTTGTTTATATTTTTTTCCTTTGATACTTGTGCTTCCAAAGTAAAATCTTCTTTAATGAAGAATTTAATTTAATTTTATGATTTGTACATTCTTATTTTTACAAAGTTTAACTGTCCATAGTTGAACTCTAAACATTAAACATAAACCTGAACGTCAAAAATAAAGTGACGAAGGCCACGACAGCGCTCTATACATGTACAAAATCCATTTTTGTAAAAAGGGGCACCAACCCTAGCAATAGTTAGGCCAATACTACACTACGGAGTTACTGCGTGGTGACCGGAGCAATTGAAAAGGACCCCGAAAAAACTGGGCAAGTTCAGCGAATTGCCGGCCTATGCATCAGTAGAACTCCACCCCAAATGATGCGCTAAATGCTATCTTATGCCCCCAAAGACTTGACCTTGCAGGAAAGGAGCGGGCAGGCATGGCAGTACTTCTGAGAGACTCCGACCAACCGACTCCTCTAGGCACCACAGCACATAGGTCACTCATCCATTTTAATTAATAGCAATATCGTCCGTTTAAAAACATTCTACCGAGTTCCAAAAGAGTACACAGATACCCCCTTCAATACATTTATTCCTCACAGAGACAAATGGCTCGACTGACTTCCAGGCCCAGATGGGGCCATACAGGCCATACACAGATCACTGTAGTCATATCAATCAGGAAGCGCTGAACTGCCTCCAAGCAGAAACCGTTATAACAACTTGGATGAACATTTATAGCGACAGCTCAGATGCGATCGAATCACTAAATTTCTCATCGATTTGCTATTAACCTTCTATGGGTCCCGGGCTACTGGGATATTGAGGGCAACCACAATCCCCTTTCTCCAAGACAAGGAGGATATTCATATGCCAATTGCCACCTGTAAGCTTATCATAAAAGAGCAAAGATTAACAGAAGATTATTTGGCAATTAGTGCCACGATGTCGCATAACTTGGCAAATATGACCGACCATGGATAGGAAGCTCTGCAAACTAAGCTAAATAAGGTGCAGCGCAGTCATACGTTCCCTATAAGAGCTAGAGCAACCAAATTTGAAAACCGCACTCCTGTGATATCGAACCTGCACAAGTTTATTTTAAAATTTAGCCCCAACCCTTTATGTTGAAAATCAATCAAATTTTGTATCCATACTCATGTTAGATCTCATTATTACGTGTGTATTTCAAAATTTCGATCCGCCCCCACAAATGACGAAAGTCTGTGGCATCGACAATATTGAAATTACGAGAAAACTAAAAACGCACAATAATAAAGAATGACCACATCTACCAGATTTCCGAATCTGGATCAGATCGGATCAGTTTTATAGCGAAAAGGAACAAATCAATTTGCAGTGGCTACGTTTAGACACGTTTTATTTTCACAGATACAATTTCGCTTCCAATACTTGTCTTGGAACTTGTCTTGTCTTAACTTGTCATATTTTTGTGTTTGATCAGAAAAACTTCTTGACTTCTTACATCTTTTGGTATTGTAACATACATAAATTTGAAACGAAAAAAGATTTTTCTGTTTGTCGCTCAAGATTGCCTGCATGCAATTCTCAGCTGAAATACATACATAATCCATATGGAACTAATTTGATTATGGTTTTGAAAGATATTCGTCGAAAGTTTATATTATTTCATTATCTTGTAGAGACTCAAAGCCGACAAAACAGCAAAGTAAAAAGCCTTGCAAATCGGCATGATAAGGATGATGAAAAGTAGCACATCTTTTACGGAGGGAGGATCATATTGCATTTCTCAGCTTTCATTTTTTCTGCTCATTGGCATTAAAGCCTATTACTCGGACAAGTTTAAATTTATCTTCATTATTGAATTTTACTGGCCGGCTGGCTTGCTTTCCTCCCTTTTTGGTTTCTGCCAATTTGAATATTTACGAATTCTTAGTTATTTTATCGATCTGCCTAAGTACTGCAAGATTTCATCACGAAACGCTGACAAAAATTGGTCTGATCTGAGAACGAGGATTTAGACCGAACGAAAGAAAGAATTTGAAAAATGGTTGTTTGTTTTTATGAATATATTTATGAATATGAATTAATATTGGATGGTTCATTTTAAGGAAATTAATGAATTTGTGTATGATGTTACAGGATACAAAAAAATTACAAGGTTGATCGTTAAGTGTAAGTAAAATATACGTACATATGTGTACAAATAAATAATTTCTTTGTATACATTTGCAGTTAAAAATCTTTAAATGTTGCTCCACAAGTGGTATTTAGCTCTAGCTCTAAGAGCTTGGGTTTGAGTGAAAAAAAATTAAAAAGTTATTATTTTTTATTTATAATCATAATTTACGTGAACTTTCTACTGCTTGAATCCAATAATAGTGTTTACGACGATGAGACGACATTCGATTCGCTGTCCCCCTTGATGCTGACGCATTCCTTCTGTTCCATAACTGATGGTGGGCCACTAATTTTGTCGGCGGGAGATTCCACCGAATCCAATTCACTTTCAGTCTTTAAACGTTTCGATTTATTGGCTGTTTTATCCAGATCAACTTCTTGCGCGGTATCTGGCGAAGCACTGCGTTTGAGCACGTTTTCATAATTTTTGACATTTGTAGATTGTTCATTTGCTTTGCTGGTGTTATATAACACATCTTCCGTTTCTGCTGGATTAATAGTAGTCGGCAGTTGTTGAAGTTTAGACTGAAATTTGACAATTACCGCGGTCATGTTATCACAACCAGTTCCGTCGCCCATAGTATTTGGCGCCAAACAGTTGTCAAAAAGCTAAGGGTTCAGATTGTTATTGATAATGCAAGGACAGTATAAATATTTTATTATGTTACCTCTTCGCAGATGTTAGATAGCTTCTTATTTTCATCTTTTAGTCGAAGTCGGACAAAATCCACGACTTCCTCACTAGACATATAGTTCCAAATACCATCGCATGCCAGGACCATAAACTCGTCGGCAGGCGTAATAATTAATTTCTTTACGTCTGGTAGAGCGGATATCATTTGTGCCTCAGCTGGAAGTTCCAAATTTGTTTTATAAGCATGATCGCCAAGGGCTCGAGATAGATTTAGGCCACCATTGACACGACCATCAAGGGTTACACGTCCACCTGCTTTAACGATCCGCGTGGCCTCCTCATCGTCTTCAGGCTTGTGGTCAAGACTCATTTCAATAGTTTTACCATTGCGGGATATAACACAACGTGAGTCGCCGGCGTTCGCCACATACAGATCACGGCCATGCAACAAACAGACAACAGCAGTACATCCACTATCTTTGCCAGGCTCTTCAATCATATTAGCGCAAAACTGATCATTGGCTAGCTGATCCTCATCTGCTTCCTCTTCGTCACTTATATCGTCGTCCTAGGGATATGTTAGTTAGGTACAGGTAAAAAAAAAGAATAATTAAGAACTTACGTCGTCTTCGTCATCATCGTCGTCGTCGTTTTCAGCCCCATCGTCTATGTCTTCTTCAGAGCTATCTGCAGTGGCTACTTCCGATTCCTCGATTATACCATTTTCATCGTAGTCAGCGTCATCGTCCGTGGATTCATCGTCTTGTGCAGTATTAAGTTTCTTTGCATTTTTTTCAGATTCCTTGCTGGTCGATGAAATAAAGGAGCCGTCAAGTTTTGTTCCTGTTGAACTGACCAAACTACCATTTTTTTTCGCGTCACCGATGTCTGTAGACCCAGACACTATAGATTCTTCGGATAAAGCGTCGCCAGCCTCTATAACCTCAGATGAAGTTACTCTTCCATTCTGATCAGTTGGAATCTTTATAGTTGAACCGCTCCCATTAGTTTTATCAGTTGTATCAGTGACAGTTTCACTGTTTATTAAATCATTTTTATTTTTGTTGGCGCTGGAACTGCTACTACTAGTCACTGCTGATTCATCTTCAGGTTTTGCTGCCTTGGAATGGCTGGAACTCGGACCGGGGATCTCCGAAAATGCAGCAGCTGCTGCTGCAGCTGAGGTTGAAGAGCCTTCTGGCTTAGCTGTTGGATCCATTACAGCCTTATTAGCAGCTTCGGCAGCCACTGCTGCAGCGCGACGACCACGCAAACAAGGCGCTTGCAATTTAAAATGTTCCTCCGCCTCGGTTTTTAGCCTGTCCATTTTGTGTGTTTGCGGAAGTCCTTTGTATTTTTCTAGTACTTCGTTCAATGGTAAATTGCTCTCCTCGTGTAACTCAGCTAAATCTTCGTCCTCATCTTCCTCGTACACTTCGGCATCTTCTCCATCAACAAAATTATGCTCGCCGGCCAGTATTTTTAGTATGGTTACTACTGGTGGATCTAGCAATGTTTTGTCGAATCCCAAAAAAGCATCTTTCAGCGCCAGTCCGAACTGACCTTTTTTGTACGCATCTAGGTTTTTGAGGAATTCTGGCAACTTGTCTGCACAGTACTGGGCCACCTCGGCTCCACCGTGGCCATCATAAACAGCAAAAAATGACGTATTGATATCAAAATTTAAAATACAATTGTGAGCATCCTGTAATATCAGTAATTGTCAAATTCTTAGCACTTAATAAATTCATAAATGTCTCACACTCTTACCTCTTGACTGTTGCGCCAGCCCTGCATCGAGCTGGCACCTACTACCAGCAAATCGTTCAATTCATCCGTAGACGATTTTTCCGTCTTCGGATGTGACAAGTAAGCACCCATTTTGAGTAATAAAATATTTTTTTCTGCTTACAAAATGAAAAACAATGTTAGAATTGGTTTACAAGGCGCAAAGAAAGGCGAGTCGGATATCTCCTGAGCTATTTCATATGCCTAATGCGCTATGCGGAAAATCGATGCGTAGCCAGAGCACGCGTGCTTTGTCTAAATATTATTTTTCGCGCCGCCGGTAAAAACAATTTCACTGAGTAGAATTCACGATTTTTGTTTTGTTTTTAATGAAGTTGGTAAATATATTTCTTTGTAAATCTCATAATTTAACTGTTTTTAAATGGAAAGAAATGGTTTTATTTTATATGCGATGCCCGTGTTTTTTTGGCCGCTTTTTTCTAAATTTAACACTTAATTCAGATAATTTTTCTAATTGTTTGATTTTTCTATTAACACAAACAAATCTGCTTTTTTTCCAATTCTTACAAAATGATGCTATGTATATGTATGCTACTTTTGCAACTTGCAATATTTGTCCTGTAGTAGCGTAGCTAGGGTTGCCAACAAATCGATAGCGCTATCGATGGTTGCAAAACTAGCCAACCATCGATTGATTAGGTTCAACATCGATAGTATTGAGCGGAAAAATTTAATACATTGATACCTTTCATATTTTTAGTAGAGCTGCTGGTAGGCATCGATGTTTTCGATGGGCACCTAAGTCTGTTTTTACACGGTTTTGAAATAACACTGTTTGAAAATCAAGATTTTAAAATAAGTTTTATTTTCTCATTTTCTTATAAAGTTTATAATAAATAAAAATAAATTAAATAATAATAAATTAATGATAGCCGTCTGATGACGTGTCTGGAGACGGCTAAGAACACTCATTCTGCGTTTTGTTTCTCATGCTATCTCTTCGCAGCAAAGTTATGAAAATAGAAACCAAAAGAGAATGTCAAATGTCTATACCATTACGTAAACCTAAATCCGCAAGATATACAAACAATAATTCTATAATATGCTTCCAGTTTTGTACATTTTCAAATATTAAAATTAATATATATGTATATGTTGAATAGTATTTGTAGATATCCTGAACGCGCCTTGGGTACAATATAACTTTTAGTTGAATAGAAAAAAGTCTTCGGGTGAGTTTCGGTTTTCACTTCCTCAAAAACTTTCTTTCATAATTAATGTTTTTACCTAACTACAGATCTATCAGAAGAGGTCGGTTTAGTTTGAAGCGTAACTAAAAGCTTCGCTTTTGTGGCTTAGATTAATTGATCAGAGCAAGAAAAATTTTGGTTAGAAAATCTTTCGTACCGATTTTGTTGACAGCCTAATACGCAAAAGTAAGCCCCGTTTCACTCATGCCATGTAAACAGCATACTGCCGCATCGTATTAACATAATATAGAAGTATAGGAGTTTCCATTAACATAATGTGCGTTATTACATTATGGTAACAGCTGAACAAATAAAGGAAAATGGACTAAATCGACTAGATGCGTATTCATAATTTTATTTTCCCTATGTTTGCATATGTGTGAGTTTTTACTCGCATCAAAAAATCAATCGATGTTCTCCTAACACAAACTTAGAAGCGTCTGTATGGCCATAGGAATTCACTCAAATCTCTTTTAAAATGCTACGATTGATCTAAAATATTTGTTTCTCTCTCAGCTATACATGTTTACCCGCAAACATATTATTTTTGGATCAGCTGTTTTTTGTTGTCTCTAAGGCATAAATAATCGGATATTTTTGCCACTGCACTACTGGGAATTCCACTTATTTGGGATATACGCCCAGTGTGCACTACTAAGCATGCACATATGGTTCACCTATGTCAACAAAAAATGCGTTTACGGAAAAACGCATTAACGAAATCCTAGGTTTCAGACTATTAGTTCACATAATTATCAATAAAGGATGCTGAGGTAAATAATATTATTTTTGAGGGATGTTGAATCCGAAAGATATCGGTATGTATGGTTGGATGCAGGCACTAACCATACAGTATACTGTATGGTTAGTGATACAGGTTATATACTGTATGGTTAGTGGTTCAACTTAATAATTGTTTTTTGTTAATCGTTCTTTTTTGTTCATTGGTCTATTTTGATCATCGATCTTTTTGTTCTTAGCTCAATTTTAAAGTCTAAAATCTAGTTTTGAGCTTATATGTAAATACTGCACTACAATTCATTGACGTTTTAACTTCTTAAATTTATTTTAATTTGAACTTACTACTTGATATCGTCATCGATAGACAACCAATAGTTTCAATTATCTCATCTTCGATTTTTTGTATTTTTTTGTTTAAGAAGTCGATGCTGAAAAACAATAATCAATTTTACTTATGTTGTCCATTGTAATTTTAAAAATACACACCTTTCTTAAGTATTTCACATAATATTATGTAAAAACTTAAACTTTCCACCTTATTGGGCGTTAAAAGCGTTTGTCTTTTCCGGACTATTTCTCCTGCTGCAGAAAATAGGCACTCACATGGCACCGACGTGGGCACCATGCACCATACGACTGCCCGTAGAAAATCATCTTTTGAAATATCATTGGCTATGGATTGCTGCAGCACAGTGGCCTTTGATAAGGTGACATTATACGCTGCTGAAATTTCAGCTGTTAATCTTTTAAAATAGAAAAGCGCTGAAACATTTTGTATGTTGAGTTCCAACGTGTAGGAACATCTTGTGTCATTTTAAGGTTGGGAAGTTTTAACTGGCTTTTAATTTCTTTGAGCTTCTTAAATTCGGATGACCTGCGATTAAAAAATTCTATTTTTTGGCACCTATGTATTTCAAAAATGAAAAGAGATTTTGGGTTAAACTTTATAATTCGTATTTAATCTTGGTGGCTTAGCGGAAGCTGATTGCTTGCTATTGCCAGATAAACTTTATGCGAGATCGATATGCAACCAATGCGCAGAGGGGTTAACATAGAACTAAACTATAGACGACGGCGTTAGATCAAAGTGATTGCCGAAGTGGCGGCAGCAGATCAATGTAATTGCCGAAGTGGCGGCGGCAGAGAGCCCCTTTAGCGGGAGAGCGCAGCAACTCTGCAGAAAGTCAACGCTTTACAACATAGGCGGCTCTCTCTGCTCATACAATAATAATGTTAAAGTTACGGTTATTATTCAGCGGCTGGCCCGAACATACTCCCTCCGTTGGGAGCTAGTCTCTCAACAGATTCCTTAAGGGGCAGCAAACATAGCCGAGTGACGGCCCTCCTGATGTTTCCTGAGGATGTCTTCAGGTCAGCGACGCGACACACTCCGTCCTTGCCGAAAACGACATCGACCACTCTAGCCAGTGGCCAACGCATTGGAGGAAGATTTTCGTCCTTCACCAGAACGAGGTCGTTCTTGCAGATGTTTTGCGCGGGGGTACGCCACTTCGCGCGCTCTTGCAAAAGAGTGAGATACTCTTCGCGCCAACGGCTCCAAAATATTTGTTGTAGTTGGGTGACCCGCTGCCAGCCATCCAGACGATTGTAGTTCAGCTTCGTTAGGTCAGGCTCGAGGATTTGCTCATGGGGGCCGCCTAAAAGCAGATGAGCAGGAGTCAAAACGTCTAAATCATCAGGATTTTCTGAAAGCGAGAGCAAAAGGCGAGAGTTAACAATTGCAGTGATCTGACAGATCAGAGTGCGCAGCTCGTCGAAGCTAAGCACAGATGGTCCAACTGAGCGGTACAGGTGATATTTTGCGGTCTTCACGGCCGCTTCCCACAACCCGCCAAAATGCGGAGAGCGAGGTGGGATGAAACGCCAGTCGATCGAGTCAGCCAAGCAGTATTCGTGGACCTCCTTCATATGCGGTTCGCTCAGACAAAGCTTCTTTAGCTCCAGAAGCTCGTTCTTGGCCCCAACGAAGTTGGTCGCATTGTCCGACCAAATTTGACTTGGCCTTCCTCGAGTGGAAGTAAAACGCTTTAGTGCACCTAGAAACGATGCGGTGGTCAAATCCTTTATGAGCTCCATGTGTATAGCCTTAGAAGTGAAGCAGATGAATACGCTAATGTAGCACTTGATCGGAGGCCTTGTGCGGATTTCTGATCGGTAGAAAAAAGGTCCACAGTAATCTACTCCAGTGACTTCAAAAGCTCGAGATCCCTCCAAACGTTCCTTAGGTAGGTCTCCCATGATGTGTTCAACCATGCGCGGCCTAGTCCTGAAGCATCTCACACATCTGCTGACGACCCTTGACACTGCCTTAACACCTCCAATGGGCCAGTATTCCAGCCGAATTTTGGATAGCAAGGCGCGAGGTCCGGCATGGAGGTTTCTTTCATGATAATATCTTATCAGCGCAAAGGTAATGGAATGTCCCTTTGGCAGAATGAGCGGGTGCTGAGCGTCAAATCCTAGCGATGAGTTGCCAAGACGACCTCCAACTCTAAGTAGTCCAGAATGATCGATTAACGGGTTGAGCGAACTAATAGAACTGGATTTCATGACTTGACCATTGCGCCGAATCTCCTTTATGTCCATCCACAAATTTGCCAGCTGAATGTGTCGAATTAGAAGATGCGTTCCTTGCCGAATATCAGAAACGGTGAGTCCTGGATGCCTAAGACGATGTATAAATTTATGCATGTAGGCGAATGTGCGCTGCATGCGAAAGAATGAATTCGCAAATTTGCATCCGGACGTGAGATCGGCATGTGGAGACGTGATTAGCAATCCTCTCTTGCGAAGCTCCAAAGTTGCTATGTTGTTAGATGGAGATACAGGCCACTTATCCTTGGAGCCTAGCAAAAAAGATGGGCCGTGAAACCATAGCTCTGACTGGATAAGATGGTTGGGAAGCGAGCCTCTCGAGATAATATCAGCAGGATTTAAAGATGTGGGAACATAGCGCCATTCCGTGGCTGCCGTCAACTCCTGAATTGATGCCACTCGATTTGCCACAAAAACTTGAAATTTAGCTGGCTCGTCCCTAATCCAAGATAATGCTGTTAACGAATCCGACCAGCAATAGAACCGACCTGTAAAGATTCCCATGTCCTTTACATTCTGCATGATTTTCGCAAGCAAATGGGCTCCACTTAATTCCAGCTTAGGAATCGATATAGTCTTTAGCGGCGCCACTCGCGACTTTGAGCACAAAACGTGGCTCGAAGACTGGGCTTCCCTGGACACGACATACACGCAAGCGCCATATGCTTCTAAGCTGGCATCACAGAATCCGTGAACTTCTGTGGCCACACTAGAACGAAGAACCAAGCGAGGAAATGAGAT